GTCACGCGAAGCTTATTCGCGAGAATCTTTATAAAGATTGGAATATTATTTATTGCTATGTTATATATCTTGAGTCACATATTATGAAGTATCATACTCAGGTATATAAAAAGTATTTTATATACCTGAGCTGAGACACCCCAGTTATACCCTTTGGCCCGCATCTAGTGTACATAAAAACTAATAGCGTAAAAAATAACGCGAAAAAACAATGTTATAGATAAAATGCGTTGTGATTTTTTACGGTATGGCAACCAGCCGTTTAGCTTAGTGATTACAGCTCTAGGTGCATGTAAGACGTGGGTCCTATTCCCACATCGAAGAATAATCTTTTCAGCCATTTTTATTACAAAGTTTAATGTTTCATCTTAAATGCAGAGATTAGCACTATTTGTTTTTCATTATATTCTATATAGTCATATTCTAGTTTAGAATTCTACTTACACCAGTTCATATTTCACGTATTAATTCACCTAATAAGTAATTAAGTGATATGTATAGACATGTAAATAGGAATATAGGTTGTAAAAAGCAACCTATATTCCCCAGCCTCTACATAATACAAGTCATTCAAGTCCCTCATTATACTACAGCTTTGAAAGTGGGTCAACACAAACATTCTATGGACTATTTCAATGAAAAGAAACATGTCATTAACTCAACTTACAATATGTGATACTTCACAATCATTGCATGAAGTCACTACCCACCTTGGAAATTCATAAATCTCATGGGCTTGGAGTTGCATTGCCATATTTTTAATGGTTACAGACAAATTACAAAAGTATAAATATAATATTTATGAATATGCTTTTCTCCGGAAAATCCAAATAGCGACTTATTTTTAAAGTTACTTAAGTTTGAGCATTCTTGTATGTCCACAATGGGCAATCATTAAGTACATACATAACGAATCAAACACATTTTGTAGCCCAAGATTTGAGTCTGAATTAGAAATGCTAATAATAAAAAAAAAACACAAAAACAAAGTAAACACTATTTAAAATTCAGGTGCATGTTGAATATGTCCATTGTTGGTTTTTTTTATTTTGGTAACTTCTCACTTTTATCGAAAGTTATAATTTAAGATTAATCTTAAATCCGTATGTATTTTTAAAGGCGTACACACAATCGAAAATTCTAAAAGGTGATTTTTTTTATGTGAAAAGTTGCTAAACGAGCAGACAGTTCACCTGATGTTAAGTAAATACCGCCGCTCATGGACATCTGATACACCCGAGGGTTACAGATGCGTTGACAACCTTTTGAAAATTGGCCTGCGGCTACCTCACTCACCAGACAGAAACGCGAAAGTATTTGATATATTATGAGATACAAAAATCCGCTGTTGTACAAAAAAAACAGACTCTCAAACAAAACTTTTACGGAGGTAGGGCCACGCACCAGCCTCGGCTGTTGCACGAATGGGCAGGCCCGTCCTGGCCGACCCGTTATTCATGTCTACGGTAGCGGTCATAGTAACGGCAGCGAAGATGATGATAAGAATTTCCAGATAGGATTCCGCTACCAACGACGGTGACTGGACCTATGCAACCTGAGTTGCAAGCATTAGAAATTTTCCTTGTTTTTCCTTGGCGTACAATAACAGTTCCTGATGCTAATTTCGTTATTTATTGAATGGGAGCTAGTAGCAAGTGTAACTAATAACCTTCTCTATGATGGGATAGTAACATAGGTGTTACAATTTTCTTTATTCATAAAATAGGTCGCTCTGCATATTAATTAGGACGTGCAATGTAGGTTGAAACGGTGTCAATTCGTATTTGCAATGCGCGTGTCGCCACTATGAATTGCATAATCTTACACGTTCCTTAATTTATGTCTCAATAAGTTATTTTAAAATAATACGTAGTATTATTTTTTAAGTATTCTTTTATATTCACTTATATACAACACATATATTTAAAAGAAACTTTACTTAAAAATAACTCATAATATAAATGTTTTTATAGGTTATTTTTGTGTGAAAAATTTGCAAGTGATTATGGTTTTACTTTTTACAAAAAGTAAAGCCAAGAGTTTAAGATATGTAACAAGAAACATCAAGGTGTTTCTTGTTACATATCTTAAAGTTTTTGGCCTCTGTAAAAAACATTTACTGGTATTAGCTAATCTCGACGAATGTTGGTGAGTATAACCATTTGAATATTTATTTGTATGGGCGTGTAGCGTGAAATGTTGTTATAATGACTAAAACATCTTAAAAGAGTATTAGTTCGGACGCTTTTTATTTCATTTTTGTGTTTTTTAATATATTAGCACACATTTTTACACAACGATCTGTAGTCCTATACTAAGCAACGCTTGTATTATGGGTACTAGATAACTTTACCTAAACATACTTTTCTTTTGTAAAAAAAATACATAATATCCATATATAGACACGCAGACACTTGAAAAACACTATGTTCTTTACACAATATTTTTCCACCAAACCCTCTAGCGCAGGATGCAGGTACACTACCCAATGCCATTAGGCTAATTTTAATATTCTTTTGGACTAAAATAGTTGAAATAGTAAACAAGTTTCAATAAGTATTCGGATTTGAGCCACTATTTGAGCAATAATTCTATGGGCATGTTGTGAACCTTAAGATTTTTAGTAATAATTGATTCACTTACGTGCGTGAATATCGGGTGAACATAAAAATTAGTCATTATTTTATTAGTAAGCTGTTGGTGTTTAATCTTATTAATATAATGATATATATTAAAAGTAAATGCTTTGAAGGTCATCTGGGCGGTGATAGATTCTCAATTTACAACATTTTTACTTTGCCAGTTTGTAAGCGGGGAAGTTAAAAAAAAACTGTCTTATATTGAAGTACTCTGGGTAATAACAGTCTCACCACTAACTATACTTGTATTCACTTGCGCACTGACTTTCTCTGTCTACCTCGTAACATTGCAGCCTTTAATAAAATGGAATTAAAAGAATATGGTAAAATAATATCAATAATATCTAATTTAAAAGATGCCAATTAACACTTAAATCATTTGGCAACTTCAGCCTCAAGCAATGTTTAATAAGGCTCCACTTGAAAAATCGAATTTAGTGCTAGCCTAGCGCAAATAACATTTCTCCGATTGCTGCTATTAGTCTCAAACAGTGTAAGCAACTAAAACTTTGAAAATTTGAATTGAGTTTCATAAATATTTATAGTACGAGTAATGAAAATAGCAATAACAACAATAAATATTTAATATTATTGAACATTCGTTCAATATAAGAAGTATGCAACAAAAAAATGTTTAATGGCTTTTGCACGTTTGGCCGCGACAATTACTTAACTCAGGCGAAATAAAAGTTGTCGATATAGAGCTACGTGACTATGATACCCAGACGCTACGTGTGATGAATGAACAAAGCTATATTTGATCAGTATTACAAAAGGTATCTCTTATATTTATTTCCTTCTGTGCTTATCGCGGTTATTTTTCATTTCAATTTGACAATCATATAATTGGTAACTTTGATCAGCCATAGTCTTGCTTTTAACTTCCCTCATTAATATATAAAAATTAATCCCTATTTCCCTTGGTCACGCCATCACGCGTGAACGGCTGGACCGATTTCACTTTTTTTTTGTTGCGTTTGTTATTATCAGGAGAATGTTCTTATGAAAGAAAAAATTTAAAAATTGCGCGGAAGATTAGAAAATTTAAGAATACTTGACAATAATATTATTTCTAATTTAACTTTAGCTAATGAAAAAAAAACTTACTTTACTTTAGAGAAATAACAAGAATGTTGTATATCATAAAGCATTAGAATAATAAACACACTTTTTTTATTAATTATACCAATTCGAATTAAATAGTCATCGTTAAGACAGGACAACGTCTGTCGGGTCAGCTAGTTAATAATATTTTTCGCGCAAGGAAAGAATTCCCGTGTTGTGGAAGAATATAAAAATTTTAAAAATCATGGACACAAAGTACACACTTGAAAACAGTTTATGGATCGAATCCAGCGCCAAAATCGCGGTTGACAAATTCTAACTAGGCGTAGACGTGGTTTCGATTCCCACCGCAGCGAAAAACTTTTCGATCTTTTCTACAAATATAAATGTTTTATCTTAAGTGCAGAGATTAGCACTATAAAAATTTAAATTTCTGATAGCAATGGCGCTATCTCTCGTTCGAATTATCGTTGTAAAACGATATTCAAAATTGTCTATACACTGTAAAGGAAATAACAATGGATGCGTCAAGAATTGCTTCAAATGCGAAAAAGCAAAATAGATAATGACGTCGAAGACGTGGTTTCGATTCCCACAGCGGCGCAAACCTTTCGTACTTTTTACACTTTTACAAATTTTAATAATTACCTAGACCAAGGATGAGCAACGCGCCGCTTGCGGCCCATTAAACGTGATTATGCGGCCCACCAAGCATTTCTAAAATTGAATTTATTTTATCTCTCTCCCATCATACCAATACCAATTTCTCCCATCAATATATTGTTATGAAAATAATTATAATAAAATGGTAGTACATACTGAACCGAAATATTTTTTGTTCGTTTTTCTGTTCTTTTCTTGTTTGTTTTTACCTTGCATTAGAATTTGTATATGAAATCTTTACTTTTTTTAATTATATATTTTATTATTTTAATATTTATTATAAATAAAACTTCGTAAATTATTGCCAAAAAAAATTTAAATTTAAGTTGGCCCATTGATTAAAAAGGCTGCTCACCCCTGACCTAGACTATTTAATTATCCATGTAGCTAAGAAATGTCTTGAAAATTTGAGATTTTTGCATGCCTTTACACCAAGTCCGTAAACACTGTTGCCCACAAGGTTGTGTATTATGTCCTACCCCTATTTCTTCTGCATAGTCAATGAATGATTGCGTTTTAGCAACATTCATTTTTATGCAGATGAAAATATTTTTCGGCGTGGGGACGTCACGACCCCATCGCCCGCTGGTGTGATATAATCTTGTGACAGATATTATTCCGCCAATGCAATCAGTCAACCCAACTAGTGGTAGTGCCATGCTGCACCACTTCGGGTATCAGCCAAATTGGCTGGCACGGCCTGGGAAGAACCATTCTCTCACTGGCAACCGGAGTCAAGTGGCAGATTTGCTGTCGTGTTTCGTTCGATCTGAGAGAGTCCCGTAGGCTCCTCCCTATTCCCCCCCACTGCGCGCGACTTTCGTTTTGTCTACCACCGGGAGGGTACCACCAGCGTACAGCGTGATGGAGAACCCCTCTCTGGGCGTCTACGTGCAGGTCGTGCACCACCTGAACGTGGGTTCCCAGACTGGCCCTCCTATTTTGGGGGAGGGGCATGCAGGCAAAATAAGGCCACCCACGTTCGCTGTGGACTTTTGCAACATTATGGAGCTGAATTCTAACTTGACTATTCATTCCTTATTGAGCACATGCAATTTCTACAGATCTGGCTACAGATTCCATGCTGCATCACGCGTCGCATTAGCATATGATCTGATACTACTGGTCACCTCGCCAACGAGAATCCCAGATGTAGAGGATCATAAAACTTCCCTGTTGAATTTCGGTTGACCTCTCATCCAGACGGCTACATGGTACTTTCTGTCGACCCGCTTCTTGGTTCATCGGACCACTATCTTGTTCAGAGTACAGAGACAGTTGCAGCCAACACAGTCTCGCTTTGCGGGCTGCCACTACGCATGGTGCTATAGGTTAGCGGCTTGGGACGAGATGCGGTGATTATTTGCGTCCTATCGAAGGGGCAGTTTTGCTTCTCGCCGGATGAACCAGATGTCGTTGCTGACTCTGTCACCGATGTGGTACTTAACAGTTTGGAACTCTTTATTCCGTTCTCTGCAGTGCCCATCGGTGCCAAATCGCAACCTTGGTTTGGTCGCTCCTGTTTTTAATTTTACTATTTTTATTATTATTTCACCTATTTTTTAATTTTAGCTTATGATCAAGAATGATTTCAAAAGAAATATATGGATATGTGATATTAACGTTATTATAATCGAATTGAACATTGATGAAAAGAATTTTCCTGTTAAAAAGGAAAGTTTTATAAAAAAGATCAGATTGAAAAACGGACCGAATAGATAACTTGAGACGCTTCATCGTCAATGAATAATTTATTTAAGCGAAGCGATTTCACAAAATTGCTTCCCATACCATTGGAAAAAGTACGGTGGCGTTCAATCGAGAACACTGATAAGATATTCATATTATATGTACGCTACGAGAGAAACAAATTAATAAAACACTTTTATACGACTTTTATTGGAATGAAGTTCCTTACGATGGACTTAAGGTGTCTAACTACGAATTAAACAGTTCTGAACTCCTAAGTAGGTAAATTTACGACCTGTGATTAGGAGACTCAGTCCTTTCCCCCAATTTAGTGAATTACTGGTACTTATAAAATTACGGATAAGTAATGAAACAAAGAATGTTCTCATACTTGTGCGTGCGTGCGTGCGTGCGTGCGTGCGTGCGTGCGTGTGTGTGTGTATGTGTGCGCGTGCGCGCGCATGCTTGCATGCCTGTATGGGTGTATGTATGTATCTTGCATTAGTTTTTATGCAAATTTTGTAATGAAACTGCCTTATGCTCACTACCCAACAAAACTAACAGGGAGGGCGTATCCACACAACGCGTGACGTTATCACTTTGGAATGTTACGAGATTTGCGTTACGCTTCCTCTACTTTCAGTCGATTCTCTTCGTGTGTGTGCGCATGTAAAATTACGAGTTATTATCGGGTTTTTTCGCAACTTATTTATTTGCTAGTGAAGGTCCCGTTCAAATCCTTCCAGCCGTTTCAGAGATTAGCCGGAACAAACAGACAGACAGACAGACAAAAATTGTAAAAAATGTTATTTTGGTATATGTACCGTGTATACATCCATATACATTTAGTATAAAGCGGTTATTTTAATACTACAAACAGACACTCCAATTTTGTTTATCTGTTTAGATGAAAATGAAATTAATGCGACCGACGCGTCTTAAATATCATTTATTCTGACGTTAAATTCATTTTAAATTCGCTCATGTCAAGCCCTGTATTAGAGCGAAGCTCTACCCAAATACCCTCAAAGGCCGCGAGCGACCCATAAATAAATATAATATATTTTTATGGGAGACGGGTGGCAAGGGAGCTGTCGTTTCACTTGATGTTTGGTGATAGCCGCCGTTCATGGACAAATGTCCATGAATGGCGGTTATCGGTTTGTAACACCTTTAGAGTTACAGATGCGTTGCTATCTCTCAATAAAATGGTACCAGGCTTCCTCATTCACCAGACGAAACGTAGAAGTATAATACTTTCAATTCACACCGGTCTTTAGTGAGGTCATGGTACTTACCCGGACGGTGCTGCTCATTCGTGTAATTGTGAATACTGCTGCGTGGCCCTAACATAGTTATAGTTCATGTATTTTTGTGCTTCAAGTTTTTATTAGGATTTTTTATTATAATAACATCTTAAAAGGGTCGCATACCTCTAAATCCGTAGTGATTTTCAGCTCTACCAATTAACATCTCTATGTCTTAAAGCATGGATTTCACAATAATACATATTCTCAAGATCCATTTATATGCTAGCATAATCTTGAAAATTTATAACGGTAGATAAGGCAACAATGTATCATATCACATCCATACTGCCATTCAATTAAGATACCATATGAGACGCCATTCAAAACAAACATTTCTCACGCGTTATCGTGTTATCTAACTCAATGTTTCTACCAGAACTTAATGTTCTAACGTTATCTACGAATGCATAAAGTTTGACAGCTTCAACCAAATAATTTGATAAACTGGCAGTTCATTATACTGATAACATTTTACTTATGGTTATCCGTTAAGTTGAGGTTTAAATGTGAATCATGTGCCATTTGCACCATTCATTATCGGGCTTTAGGAAAATGACTGTAAAAGTAAACGCTTGAAATAAATGACGAAGAGGTTTATCCTATAGGTTCAATCTCACAATGCTCATCAAATAAGATAACGTGTACTTAATACCCTAAGGTGCGGTTAAATATCTTACGGTATTCAGTCCCTGTTATCTTATTTGCTTAATATACAAAAACGAATCTATCAAAAAATATCAAAATAATATAACAGAATATACTATAACATAATATATAGATATGGAAACATACGACATATACCAATCATATCACTTTTCTAAACTTTGTTAATCATTAGTCCTCAAGTATATACTAAATCGTTGTAATCCTTTATTCAATCAGTAAAGCAATCACTAAAGTAAGTAAAAAAAAATCCAATCGCCAGCACGACAAAAAATACACTAAAAAGGCACGACAAGCAGTCAAGTCTTGATTGGAGAAGCGTCTCCATACCGGGAGCTTATCGTGATTGTTAATGAGCCCTGGGCAAAATACCGATAACATCGTCGTAACAATCCGTACTTCGGCTTAATCAGATATTTGTCCTCAATCTGAAATACTTACGTATTGTAGCTGATAACATAAAGCTTAATTAATGAAAACAAATTAGCGGTGCTCATTCTCGTCGTAAAGAAAGGGTAATACAATAAATGTGTATAGCTGAGATATGACGTTAGGTTTTAAAGTTATTGATGCCCATGATTTTCGAGTAAATAAAATATTACGTTTGTAATAAAATTTTGTCTCAACAATTAATTTCTCTGTGACATTCTGGGCTGTTTTTTATGGATTATAGAAAATTTTATGTTATTCAAGGTTTCATCGAGATTAATACAACCTTAGCTACTTATTATCCCCTAGATTATATTTAGTTTAGGTGCAATGTGTGTTGGCTATGACTAATAAATGTAATTTATTAACATAACAGAAAACATAAAATAAAATTCAAACCTTACCAGGTTCTTACATTATTTGCCCTGTACTAGCCCCAATGATTTTGTTTAGCTATTAACATGTTGTCATTTTATATTTAATCATTAAACATACACGTCAATTCTAGTCTCCATAAGGATTTGAACTGCTATTAATCGAGAAAAGTAATTTCAACGGCGACCATCAGGAACATAGACACTGAGCTATCCAGGTAATCATTATTGCTTGGTACTAGTCTACCTTATATCCCCGTCTTTTCATATGGTTCTTTACGATTAAAAGTATCTCATGTGTTAATAAAGAAACTGCATTTGCAAACAAACTGCACTTTTGTATACATGAAATAAAGTCCTGTAATCAAAATAAATTTTATTAACATGAGAATTTGAAAAAGTTGATTTAGTTTTGGACAAGATACGTTATATAATAATGGATACGTTATATATTTACTTAAAATCAGTATTACTTTAGTGAAAATGCTAAAAAGGAGGGAATTCAGATTTAGAAATGGAATGAATTCGCGGCTTGAGGCGTTTTGTCGCCAATGAATAATTTATTTTAGAAGCGCTTTTTCACAAAATTACTTCTCGTCCCATTTGAAAAAATAAGCAGTTAAAGCGAATCCGCTTATGTTGATACGCGATAAAATGCTCAGCTTTGGATGTGGTAATTTGAAAAAATAATCCGTGCACACCAACATTAAAAAACCGCAAGATGCTACAAACTCTCCTCTAAAATAAATCACAGCAATAGATCTCAATTTATCCTAAGAACATCAGTGTTAGAAATGGGTCTGACATTCAAAAACAATTGAAACGTGAAAGACTCCGTAAAAAAAAATTATTTAACCGTGTATTGTATCCGCTTGAACACAATAAATTCGCAACACTCTTATTTTACACCCAGTTATTTCATGGTAGAGTCATGCAACAACAGCTGCTGGCGTTTAATGGGCCTCTGCAATAGAGGTATTTCAATAGGACACATTTTTTACACAACATTCTCTAGTTCCAAACTAAGCAAAGCTTGTACGCTGGGTACTAGATAACTGATAAACATACTTAAACATACTTTTATTTTGTATATAAATACATATTATACATGTATATAAATACCCAGAGACTAGAAAAACACTATGTTCATCACCCAATATTTTTCTAGTAGTGGGGATTGAACCCACACCCTCTAGCGCAGGAGGCAGATATACTACCCACTACGCCATTTGGGTTGTCAAAAAGACTTGGAAGATATCTTTTTATCTCGTCTGGTAAGTTAGTGGAAATCCTAGACACCACACACACTCTTAAAAGTTGGTATGACGCATGCATCCTATCTACGAGAAGCAATCACGGACTATCTCTAAACTTCTGGTTTCTTTTCTATTTAGTCCCATAAAAAGTATCCTTGAACAGGAGAGGTCTAATTCTATATGATTTTTCAATGGTATTAATCTATAATTAACCATTTTATCAGGTAAGTAAGCGG